TAACCACAGGGCTTCATATTCAATTACAGACTCCTTATTAGGTTACAGAAGCTAAAATCTTTCAATTTTGCCTCCAGTCGGACTTGAACCGTTAACCTTGACTGTGGAGGGTATGGGAGCTTAACCGCTAAGCTATGGGACCCACACCCTCTAATAACAAAATTTGAATAATTATCTATATAATATATAAATAATATTATAGTGACAACATTCTGTCAATCAGTTGGAATAAGTTACCTGTAACATAGTTATACTACATAACTGACAGGTCATGGGGCATCTGTGCAATATTGAAATATATAGAAAAATGCAAACTGACATTAGGTAGTGCAAATCCAAAATAAATCCTTGTGATTATATAAATCTATAAACTGAAAAGCTAAAACCCAATTGGAAAGACCTGAATAGAGAAGTAATACAGATCTTTGACAGTACTACTGTAAAGGCTAAACCTAGAAAATAGATACCAATATGAAAGGAATTAGGTAAACAAAAATCTCAAATGAGAAGTACTATCAACCAGGCTGCTAAAAGTCTCAAACTGAAGAAAAATTTTAAAAGGCAGAATCTGAAATACCAAGGACAGATTATAATTCTTTTAAGCTATCTGAATTAGAAGTCTGAAATCAAAAACAGAGATATACTATAAGTATTAGAGATATGTTATAAAATCGATATTAAGGTCTGAGTAAACTCTGTAAAACCAAACTTTGTTAATAAGAATTAAATATGAATAATTAGTTAGCAAAAAAACACCTTTGAGTCTTACAATCAGATAACATATTCTAAAATGTATAATGGCTTAACAGATATACAAAAAAAAAAACCAAGATTAGGTTAGACAACACCTAATATAGATGTATAAGAACTTGTATGCTATCTGTCAGTATAGTATAAAGATCAGAGTATTTAAAATAGGTAATTTCTTAGTAGATTGCAGATATAATAACTAATGTAGAACCTGTTATGCAGGTGAATTACTTAAATTAGACAACCAAAAGTTGTATGAGTGACTAGTTGTACACTCACCTTGTATAAGTTATGTAATCATAATTAAAAATATAAAAAGGCAGTAGCTGCTGATAATTATGACCTTAGTGAAAGCAAAAAAAAAATTATATATTTTTTTAGTTTATAAATATCTTGATTTTTTTTTCTAATAATTTAAAAAATTAAAAGTACTAAAATATAATCTTTAATTATTGTTTTAAATTAAAAAAAAATTTTAAACCATTAATATTTAAAAAAAAAAAAAAAAAAAAATTAAAAAAATTTTAAAATTTGATCAGAAGCAAAGTTTAAAAATTTTTTAAAAATTTTAACAGCCAAATTTGCTTGCTAAACTGGAATAGGTGGATTTTGTGATTATTAAAAATAAATAATGATAATTTATAAAGTTTGATCAAATCATTTATATAATATTAAGAAATTGCCAGTATTAAATATTAAAAATATAAAAAATTAAATTGTATAAATTGTATAATTGGCTAATTGTCTTTTGAGTTATGAATTGTTTATGAAACCATTTATGAAAACATGATTAAATTAAACAGTGTATTTGATTGGTTAATTGTATACTTGCTTATTAATATTTTGATATAGTGACGCTGCACAATCTATTTTTAATGATCACGATATTCCCATCACCAATGTTCGTCCATACGATTGGTATTTAAATTTATGAGTCGCACGAATATCATATAGCGAATATAATACAAGTGATGAAAGGTGTGAGGTATGACTATTCAATGAACGACCGACCATACTCAAAAAAATCTTTTATGATCGGTCACGATCAATGGAGAAAATGTCCCAAATTAACAGAAAATAAGTTTCATAAAATGGCATTTATTATTTAAGTGAAAAAATGTTTCTGAGTTTTGAAATAGTTGAACCCAGAGAAAATTGTTGATTTGTCCCTTTTTCCAGTTAAAATAATCAACTATTCCCTAATTAATAATCATCAAGGTATGCAATAAATGGACATCTTAATTTCTCCACTTAAACCAATGGTAATATTGAGCTCGAGAAATTTTGGTTGCATTGTCCCTATTTCTTAGATTTTCACAAAATCTCGGATTTTGTAATAGGTCAAGGAAGTAAAGAGCATGCGGGTAGCTGAATAAATATGTTATATCATTATGAAACTGCTAAATATTGAATCAGAAATACTTGAATTATGACTTACATTATGAATTTTGCATATTCGGGACGCTGCCAATACTTCAAATACTTTAAATAGTTAAGGAATGCAGGATCTTGAAAGAATCCTCTTTGCGCAAGATCTAATTGGTGAGATCGTAAAAAAAATTAGAGTACGATTTATTGACTAAACGTAACTTGAAAGGTTCAGATTTTCAATACAAACTATTGAGATACCACGGATTTGCCAGACATTGAACAAACTCCAATTCTATTTGGAAACGTTTATCATTTTCAGCGTCTGTCGTTGAGGTAGGACTTTGAGGTTTGTCGATAGGCGTGGAATGATCTGACATATTATATTGTGTATCTGAAAAACATTAAGTCTTAATAAGCTATTTATCGTTATATGCATTTTGCAAATCTGACATCTAATCCGATAAAATTTTTTAATCTAACAGCCACGATACACATGAAATTTATTTAGTTTATTGATTTCGCCTAATAACTACATATAGCTTTTTATTTTTTTTATAATTTCGTCTTTTATTGATGTTCGTCTTTTCATCAGGGGGTTTCGTCTTTCGCAGAGGTTTTGTCAGGGGTTTTAGCTTGCGCAGAAATTTCGTTAGTTTTGTCTTTAAGGAGGTTAGGTCTCTTTCGTAAAAATAGTTCCGTCCAACCATTGTAATTGTGACCTTACGGCGCAATATGTAATTTAACTTCTTCTTTTGATCCTTATGTGATTATATGATATTCATTAGAATACAAAGGTTATCGTGGCAACATCTTTAACGGCAGCGGTCACTGGCATCGATTTTTACTTTTCGCTAATATTTAACTTCTTCCCCCGATCCTTATGTGATTATATGCTATTTCATTAGAATACAAAGGTTATCGTGGCGACATCTTTAGCGGCAGCGGTCACGGGCATTGGTTTTTACTTTTTTGTTAATCCTGTTCATGCCAATGAGGCCGAAGAAGGTCTCCATCCACCAGCGTATCCTTGGTCTCATAAAGGTCCGTTTAGTACTTTTGATCATGCCAGGTGAGAGATGCTATATCTAAAGATATTGTCAGCGTGAAGGAAGGTCGTTTAGGAGGTTATTCTATCAACAAGTATATACCTGGCTGTGTTTAGACATTTAAAAGATAGAAAAGTATCAACGATTTATATCTTTGGATGATCATATAAGTACTAGTCTTAAAAAAAAAAAAAAAAAAAAAAACTTATATAAGGCCAAGAGTCGATGATTTATCATTTTAATACAATCTTGGATTCGACAAAAATTAAGCATTCGTCGTGGGTATCAGGTCTATAGAGAAGTTTGTTCCGCGTGTCATTCACTCGATCGCATCGCATGGCGTAATTTGGTTGGCGTATCACATACCTTAGATGAAGTAAAAGCAATGGCCGAAGAAGTGGAATACACAGACGGACCAAACGATGAGGGTGAATATTTCCAACGACCTGGAAAACTCTCTGATTATATGCCACGTCCGTATCCTAACGACGAAGCTGCTCGTGCGAGTAATGCTGGAGCTCTCCCCCCCGATCTTTCTTTAATGATTAAGGCACGCCATGGTGGTGCTGTGCGTATCGTCATGCAATTTATTTGCACTAATTTAGCAATTCTGCTAATACATGTTTGAAAACAGGATTATTTATTTTCTATTTTAACTGGTTATATGGATGCACCGGCTGGTGTCGAAATTCGCGATGGTTTATATTATAATCCCTATTTCCCTGGTGGTGCAATTTCCATGGCAAGGGCTTTATTTGACGGAGCAGTTGAATACGATGATGGTGTGACATAATAATCATTATTAGTATTATTTTATTCTTACCTTTATAGCTGAAATCGCATATCATAATTCCATTAGGTACCCCTGCAACTACATCTCAGATGGCCAAAGATGTTACGACATTTCTTTCATGGGCTGCGGAGCCTGAACACGATGATCGTAAAAAAATGGGAGTCAAAGCGATTATTATTATATCAATTTTAACTGCTTTTTCTGTTTGGTTAAAACGAAACAGGTTTGCAGCCTTGAAGTCAAGGAAGATTGTGTACGTATTCAATTTTGTAAAATGAGAACTATTATATATTTTGTATTTACGCTTAATGCTAAAAATTTTTTATTATTCAGATACGCGCCGCCTCATTAAAAAAAATAAATAAAAATAAAAATAAAATAAAAAAATAAAATAATTATTATATATTTTGAGACGAGATCATTGTGGATGAACAATTCAAATTCTGAATAAAATTATCACCATAGCGCGGTTTCTATTTCAAAGTCAATAGCGACTATTGCTATTATTGTCTGCCATGAAGGCATAAAACTATACGTATAACGAAAGCATTTTTACGTTTTTGCAATACCACAGTTAATTGCGTAATGATAATTAATACATCATTTAATTTTGGATTAGTTAAGCTTAAATTTTTTAAAAAAATTGTCAACTTGATCCCTTTTCCCAGTACCTAGCCAATGTATTTCATCAATCTGCGCATAGAACATAGTATTATTTGGACATACCAGACATTCGAAACTTATTATTAAACGTTTCATTTAAACAATCGTTATAAGTATAGAAAATAAAAACCACTTCAAAAACTGCAACCAGACAGGTCGAATGCATGTATTGCGACTAAATTACTGATATTGTTATTACTTGATGTTTCGTTTCGATAGATGAGTAAACTTTAAAAAAAAAAATTACGACTTTAAATTTTCCCAGGGAAAATTTTCAGGAATTACTTCCGGAATGTCGTTAATATATCCAACCAACCATTCAAGCGCGTCTACTAAGCCTTTAATATGATTGATATGAAATGATCTGGTCAAATGATTATATATACAATTACAATCCTAATCAATAAGCCTTATATGTCAAACTCACGAGGGCCTGAACGATTAAACATCTGATCGGAAAGTCATTAAAAACGATAAGAACATTTATTATGTACGATGCGAGAAAATAAAATATTTGATCAAACCTGACTTCCATCCACCAGTGCAATTTTCGAAGCATATTTGGAAAGTGAAGGCCACCAATTTGAAGGCAACAGTGTTTCTTCATACTCTCTTCTAGTATCATCAAGACTAAGCCCACACGGACAAACTATAAGGATCTCAGGTTTTTCACGTATGATATCCTCCGGAGGAACACGAACCCTTTTCAAGCAGCCGAAGTTCAATAATAAATTTAATATGTCAAACATTAAAATTTAAATCAAATTAATTTTATATTCAACGCACGAAGGGGGTGCACCCATCTCGGCGGTGTTGCCATCTTTGCAATCTGCCACCACCTGTACACCCTGTGAGGCAAATAAACCCATAATGCTCATGAAAACATATTTCGACTGAAATGTAGAATATAAAGAAATTTATAAAATTATCTTTTATTACATTACTCCAACGAATCAATTGCGGAGTCCAGTGACCACCAAGGTATATAGGCGATGTCCATTCAAAGAATGCCACTTTTGTGCGTTTTCTACCTGATGCAATACTTTGATTAGCTAGATCCCGTGCATGATTAATGCGTGACCAAAGCATTGATATCGCTTTAGATGATTCCTCAATCATCCCTAATGCTTTTCCAACATCAGAAATTGATGATATAACGTCCTATATTTGAAATCAAGCAATATTATTAAAGAAGGAATTTGGGATACCCCAATGGATTTAAAAAATTAGGTAATTTAATCGTCACCTCTATAGACAAAGGATTTAACGTCACTATAGTAGGTTCTGCGAAAAGAATTATAATATTGAATTAACACGAGTTTAGTAAATTGTTTGTGAAGACGCCACCTTTATATACCTGGATTAATTTGCTTTGCAATGCGCTGTACTGTAACTAGATCAATAGAACAAACATTGCATAGATCCTGATATAGGATTAAAGATGAGTATTAATTAGATAATATATTTGCCAACAAATCCAAAACTATAATAAAAGTAATTTGTCCACGTCCAAATCCCAAACTCAAAAAATTTTATTGATATTCTTTATTCAAAGAGATTATATATATCCTTACAGTATAAATAATATATTTGCAAAACTTCATTATCCTTTTTTTTTTTGATTAAAGTTTTTATAAACAGCAATTGTTTGGGATTTGATTGCCAATTCGAATTTTAATGCTTGCAATTGAAAAGTTATCTGACCTGCGTTATAACAATGTCTGGTCTTAGGCTTTTCAATAAAACAGTATCCAAGGTATAAAGGCTATTTCCCTCAGCAAGAAACCTGGATACTTGCATATCGACGTCGGCGGACGTGGTAAACTTAGTTCTAATTATTCGATTTAAAGGAATTATAAATCGTATAATCTGTGGCTTAATTTACATTTCTAAATGTTCAGTACTGTATTTAAAACATGGTCTCAATACTTTGGTGCAGTAAGGATCGGTAAGGAAGTCACAGAAGGTGGAAAATCATCTTCATGGCTTCTCCCGACGAGTTGAACAGATGGGTTGTTACCAACAATTAATGAAATAATTTCAGCAGCAGAAGGTAATAGAGATACTACTCGTTTTACAGAAGGACACGCCATTATAATCGAAATAAAAAATAGTGATAGTACCCGATTAACGATTAGGGTGTCCCAATGCACTATGTAAATCAAATCTAAGTAATGTCTATTGTTGTACAAAAAATAACCGTGACAATTTTTTTTTCTTTTGTACTAGCTTAAAAGGTAGATTGTAACTATACCTCTGGTTTACATGTTCTCTGACATGTACCTTTTTCTTCTGAAATCTGAAAATTCTGGTGGTCTAGTTGGTTCATCTGGTCTCTTCTCAAAAACCAACATATTTGTTCAGCTTCATGAGTTCTAGTTCCATTTCATAGGTATAGTCTTTACAGTAGCATTATCGAAAGTTCAAGTTACCTCTCTATTCAGGTCTTTCAAGTAGGCTTCTGTCTTCTTATCTGGTTTTGTAATTTATATAAACTAAGAACTTATCTTGGGTTTATACTACCTGGTATCAGTTTGTGTTCTTTTGTATAATGTTATATAAATGTTTAAACCTTTCAGTTATGTTGGTATAATACAGGTTACAGATATTTAATTTCAACCAATCATAGAAGATAATTAATTATAATACAGAGAGAATTTCAAATTTTTATTATGACTGAGATTTGAACTCTAAACCTGTTACTTGAAAGTTGATAACCTATTCATTTTACTAGGTTATCACATTTATTAATAGTTATATAGTTTATAATAATAATAAATAGATTTCTATATTGATATGTATATTTGTTTTTATTATTTAATAAAGTCATCTAATTGAAGATTCTTGTATGCAAATATGAATTATAATTTTTTAATTTTTTGATAATTATCATATATAAATTAAATAGTAAAAATAGTTATAAAAATAAGATGATTATTCAATTTCTAATTGAAATACATTACTGTAATAAATTATTTAATATTATAAAAAATAATTTATTGTAATAATTTTGTTATAGATTATTGCTTATATGTTTTACATTTTACTATAAATTTTAGTAATACTTATAATATAGATTATAATATATACTTTTTTATACTAAGTATTTTTTTAAAAAAATTATATTATCTAGTATTTGAATACTATCTTGAATTGCTTATTGAAATATATTGTATTTAAATACTATAGTCTGTATTATATAGTAAATTGATTGCTATACTGTTGAAATTTAAAGTATAGTATATTATATAATTTATTAATTTTATTTTATATTTATATATAATATATAGTTTTGTTTTTTATTTATTAAATTATATAATATTATTTTTAAGTCTTTATAAAAAAAAAAGTTAGTTGTAATTTCATTTTATAAATAAAAACTTTGTTAAATTGATACATTTCTGAAATTTTTCTGAAATTTGCAAGTCCTTGTTTTTTTTATAATTTTTTAATAAAAATTTAATAAATATGATATATTTCTAAAAATAATATAAAAAATAATTACAATTCAATTTTTTTTATAGTAAGTGTTTTTATTAGCTATTAGTTATTTTATTTGAAGATAAAAAGATAAATGCTTATAATAATATAATATTAGATAATAAATGTTAGTACTCTTACTGAAATACTATTTAATTATCAACAACTTATTGATCTTAAAGACTTTGTCTAAGACCTAAAGGCTTATACTTAAGAGAATACAACTTTAACTATTGAAGATCTTAATCTGTTAATAGAACAAGACTGTTTTGAGAAAACAAAAATCTTAAAAAAACTATTTTAAGAAAAAGAAAAGAAAATAAAAAACTTAAATAAAATTATTACTAATAAATTTGACTCTAAAAACAATAGAGTTATGAATTTTTTTTTTTTTTTAATATTAATAATAAGACCATGCTTCTATCTTTATTAAATATTTAATTAAGATTTTATATAGAGTACAATTTTGTTTTTAAAATATTATAGAAAGAATAAAAGCTCAGACTAATTTATCTATAATCTAAACTAATCAGAGTGGCCAAGACTTATCTAGATTTGAGTATTGATAATTATATATAAAGAATTAGTTTGATATTTGATCTATTGAATATACCAAAAGTTTATTTTTGAACTAATAGAATTGAACAGAAGAGGATGTGATAAGAGTAAGACAGAGTTTGATAATAAGTTAAGTTCAGAAGTTTGAGCTGTAGATTTTAAAATACAGTAGAGAATCCAGATTTTATAATAAATTTGTTAATTGAAATAAAGCAAAAACTTTATAATAAGTGTTATGGTTACTTTTTTGAATAACATACTTGTGATGATATTAATAACTTTGATTGGTATTAGACCTGTCAGAGTTGAGAAAATCAAAAGTGCATCTGATAAACTATGAGTAGTTATACTACTTAGCAGCTTAATTTGATTGTATAAGTTAATTATAATATTTGGTATAATATCAAGTATGTTATATTTTGAGGGTGTGGTGACTTAGTGAAGTGGATAAGTTGTCATACCCCCAAGTGGTAGGTTGTGAGTTCAAAACTCACCAACGGCGAAATTTGGATAATCACCTATGTAATATATAAATG